CAGTTTTGCATTATAATTATAAAAAATATATTGGAGGGGGGAGCCAAATTGAAAGTTTGTCCCCATGCGCCGGGAAGGGTCGCTACGCCTCTGGTGCTAAGTCTATTTTAACAGCACCTGTGTGATACGGTCAGTGCTACGCTTGAGCTAATAGCACCTTTCTAGAACACCGCGCATATTGAAAAAAGCTCATTAGGGTAATTAATTGATGTAATTAACTAATAGACGCTACATTTGCCATGCTGAGATACCACAGCGCACTGACTTACCACATTTTGCGCACTCAATGCCACATTTTGCACACTAAATGTCATATTTTGCACACTCATTTACACATTTTGCACACTTAATATCACATTTTGCACACTAAATGTCACATTTTGCACACTTAATGTCACATTTTGCGCACTAAATGTCACATTTTGCACACTTAATGCCACATTTTGCGCACTCAATGCCACATTTTGCACACTTAATGCCACATTTTGCACACCAAATGTCATATTTTGCACACTCATTTACACATTTTGCACACTTAATATCACATTTTGCACACTAAATGTCACATTTTGCACACTTAATGTCACATTTTGCGCACTCAATGCCACATTTTGCACACTAAATGTCATATTTTGCACACTCATTTACACATTTTGCACACTTAATGCCACATTTTGCACACTAAATGTCATATTTTGCACACTCATTTACACATTTTGCACACTTAATATCACATTTTGCACACTAAATGTCACATTTTGCACACTTAATGTCACATTTTGCGCACTAAATGTCACATTTTGCACACTTAATGCCATTTTTTGCGCACTCAATGCCACATTTTGCACACTTAATGCCACATTTTGCCCACTAAATGTCATATTTTGCACACTCATTTACACATTTTGCACACTTAATATCACATTTTGCACACTAAATGTCACATTTTGCACACTTAATGTCACATTTTGCGCACTCAATGCCACATTTTGCACACTAAATGTCATATTTTGCACACTCATTTACACATTTTGCACACTTAATGCCACATTTTGCACACTAAATGTCATATTTTGCACACTCATTTACACATTTTGCACACTAAATGTCACATTTTGCACACTTAATGTCACATTTTGCACACTTAATGTCACATTTTGCGCACTCAATGCCACATTTTGCACACTAAATGTCATATTTTGCACACTCATTTACACATTTTGCACACTTAAAATCACATTTTGCACACTAAATGTCACATTTTGCACACTTAATGTCACATTTTGCGCACTAAATGTCACATTTTGCACACTTAATGCCACATTTTGCGCACTCAATGCCACATTTTGCACACTTAATGCCACATTTTGCACACTAAATGTCATATTTTGCACACTCATTTACACATTTTGCACACTTAATATCACATTTTGCACACTTAATGCCACATTTTGCCCACTAAATGTCATATTTTGCACACTCATTTACACATTTTGCACACTTAATATCACATTTTGCACACTAAATGTCACATTTTGCACACTTAATGTCACATTTTGCGCACTCAATGCCACATTTTGCACACTAAATGTCATATTTTGCACACTCATTTACACATTTTGCACACTTAATGCCACATTTTGCACACTAAATGTCATATTTTGCACACTCATTTACACATTTTGCACACTAAATGTCACATTTTGCACACTTAATGTCACATTTTGCACACTTAATGTCACATTTTGCGCACTCAATGCCACATTTTGCACACTAAATGTCATATTTTGCACACTCATTTACACATTTTGCACACTTAAAATCACATTTTGCACACTAAATGTCACATTTTGCACACTTAATGTCACATTTTGCGCACTAAATGTCACATTTTGCACACTTAATGCCACATTTTGCGCACTCAATGCCACATTTTGCACACTTAATGCCACATTTTGCACACTAAATGTCATATTTTGCACACTCATTTACACATTTTGCACACTTAATATCACATTTTGCACACTAAATGTCACATTTTGCACACTTAATGTCACATTTTGCGCACTCAATGCCACATTTTGCACACTAAATGTCATATTTTGCACACTCATTTACACATTTTGCACACTTAATGCCACATTTTGCACACTAAATGTCATATTTTGCACACTCATTTACACATTTTGCACACTTAATGTCACATTTTGCACACTAAATGTCACATTTTGCACACTTAATGTCACATTTTGCACACTTAATGTCACATTTTGCGCACTCAATGCCACATTTTGCACACTAAATGTCATATTTTGCACACTCATTTACACATTTTGCACACTTAATGTCACAATTTGCCCACTCAATGTCACATTTTGCACACTAAATGTCACATTTTGCACACTTAATGTCACAATTTGCACACAAAATGTCACATTTTGCACACTTAATGTCACATTTTGCACACTAAATGTCACATTTTGCACACTCAATGTCACATTTTGCGCACTCAATGTCACATTTTGCACACTCAATGTCACATTTTGCGCACTTAATGTCACATTTTGCACACTTAATGTCACATTTTGCACACTTAATGTCACATTTTGCACACTTAATGTCACATTGTGCACACTTAAACAGCTCAGAGTACACTAAATTAGTCACACAAGTAACACACACCATAGCCACTTCGCACTCTGAGATGTTACAACACATTTAACTACTACATTTTAAATCACATTCAGCACCATTGTTTCTTTTGGAAATTTTCTAGGGCGGGAGTGGCTCTTGATAGTTAAATGTTTGTGAGGGGGCGGACTTTAATTTTGGGGGTCGGGCTCTGATCAAATTATAAAACTATATATTTTCTGTATAAATTATATAGTTTCTATTTCGTAATGTTGTGTGGGGGGGGGGGGGCAGTAAATGTGATTCGGTGTGGCAGTGTCACCCCCCCCCCCCCATAAAAAAACCAAAGAGATGCCGGCAAGAAACTTTGTTTAGTAGCGGTATAGTGTGCCAATTCAGCATAGGGAAATTGATAAGTTGACTCCACAACACATGAAAATACTGTAATACAGCCTACATTTAAATCACACTTCCTACTATATGAAAACACACTAACAAAGTCAACATTAAAATCACACTTCACACTATATGAAAACACACTAACACAGCCCTCAATAAAATCAGACCTACTAATACGCGAAAATACAACACATACTAAATGAACACACCATATGTACGCATATGAACTTTACACACTAACCTTTTTACCCAGCATAGGCTAGTCTTTCCTCATCAAGGTAATTAAGTAATTAAACTAATTTCGATGCTTACACAAGAACCGCTGTGGTTAGTGCTCAGTGCAGCTGTTGTTCTGTTGTAAAAACCTCGCACACAATTTTTTCTTCTATTGGTGTAAGTGTTCAATTTTTTTTCTTCTATTTTAAAACTATACTTGACCGAAATGTAAGTATAAGATGCCTTACTTGATAATATCTGTAGATACATCTGTGCTAAAAGATAGGGCAAATTCGATATTGTTTGGTGGTTTGTTTGTTTGTTGTTGTTGCTGCTGTTGTTGTTTGTGGTGGTGTTGTTGTTGGTGGTGGTGTTGTTGTTAGTGGTGGTGTTATTGGTATTGTTGTTGGTGTTGTTGTTGGTGGTGGTGTTGTTGGTTGATGTTGTTGGTGGTGGTGGTGTTGTTGTTGATGGTTGTGTTGTTGGTGGTGGTGTTGTTGTTGTTTTTGGTGGTGGTGGTGGTGTTGTCGTTGTTGTTGTTGTGTTGGTGTTGCTGTTGGTGTTGTTGTTGGTGGTGGTGGTGGTGATGATGTTGTTGGTGTTGTTGTTCTTTTCCCGTATAAGGTTAAGTTTAGTGTTAGGTTAAAGTTGGAGCCATGCTTACTGTAACGATACAACTCCTTGTGTAATACAGGGAAGTAACCCAGTACTTAGTGAGCAGGTTATGTATCGGTATCAGTGTTAAATATTTATAAGTTTTACGTTTATATATTTTTTGTAATTTGCAGTTAATTTATTTAAAATACTGTTAAGTTACAATAAATAATTTATTATTAAAATGTCAATTTTGTTTATTTAAACTGTTATTTGGTTTCGTACGCTGTGGTTATTTCAATTCAAGTTAAATTATGGTTATTCAATACGTGCCTCTGTCCCTATATTATAGCCGTGCTTAGAATTCAGTTTTGTCTGTATATACTTAATTCTTCCAATGCCCGGTACGCGCAAAAACGGGATGCGCTACTAATACTCAGATGATGTGGGACTAATCCAACAATACTAAAAATAAATCATAAAATATTGGACCCGCATCTCACAATAAAAACGCCCCCCCCCCCCCCTTGTGTCTATTGTTTTGTTCGCTATTCACCGTGTATATTGTTATTTAGCAATGTTTGTAAAATGTTTGTCCTACTTGATTATATTTATACTAATCATGGATAAGGCAATAATCCGTACACACTGCAAGCACTCAGTCCTTCTGAGTAAGAAATGATTATTATATAGACAAAGGCCTTGTGGCAAAACATATACCACAACCGCTGCCAATTGTGGTTATTATTGTAGACAATCGCCCAGAAGAGACAAACTTCAGGAATTTGCTGAGTAAAATAAATTGCTGTTTATTAAGCAAAAACAGATGTTCAGAACGTTGTATTTTAATTTTAATTCTTCAAGCTACAGATTTCGTTATTTGTTGTTGCACATTCTCGCGAATTAACAATTATTTTACGTTTTTTTTAATGTATTTATTTCTTATTACATTTTTCAACTTCTAATACATTTTTGTTTTTCAAATTAATTTTTTAATTTCTTTAACATTTTTTTTAAATTTCTTAAACATTTTTTTAAATTTCTTAATCATTTTTTTAATTTCTTTAACATTTTTTTAATTTTCTTCGAGATTTACATTTTTCAATCTGTGATAACTATTTTCAACACATTTATTCAATGTCTTCTATTTTATTCCCCAGCTGTTGAAAAGCCAGCGCCACCTACACATAGCGACCGACCAGATCCAGGGGCTGAAGGAGAGAATACAGATCTTAGAGGAAGAACATCAGCGGCTCAAGGTGGATTATGGGAAGTTGTATGACGAGGTCAGTCGCTTGGTCGTCTGGTCAGTTGTGTGCCGGTTGTTTTTTATTCGTGCATTGTTGATATCTTTAGTCCAGTTGTCAGTAACTCTTATCAGTGGTCATTCAATGTTTAGATAATCGGTCCATCATATATTTGTGGATGTTGTTATTCAATGTTTAGATAATTCGTCCATCATATATTTGTGGATGTTGTTATTCAATGTTTAGATAACTGGTCCATCATATATTTGTGGATGTTGTTATTCAATGTTTAGATAATTCGTCCATCATATATTTGTAGATGTTGTTATTCAATGTTTAGATAATTGGTCCATCACATATTTGTGGATGTTGTTATTCAATGTTTAGATAATTCGTCCATCATATATTTGTGGATGTTGTTATTCAATGTTTAGATAATTCGTCCATCATATATTTGTGGATGTTGTTATTCAATGTTTAGATAATTGGTCCATCATATATTTGTGGATGTTGTTATTCAATGTTTAGATAATTCGTCCATCATATATTTGTGGATGTTGTTATTCAATGTTTAGATAATTGGTCCATCACATATTTGTGGATGTTGTTATTCAATGTTTAGATAATTCGTCCATCATATATTTGTGGATGTTATTATTCAATGTTTAGATAACTGGTCCATCATATATTTGTGGATGTTGTTATTCAATGTTTAGATAATTGGTCCATCACATATTTGTGGATGTTGTTATTCAATGTTTAGATAATTCGTCCATCATATATTTGTGGATGTTGTTATTCAATGTTTAGATAACTGGTCCATCACATATTTGTGGATGTTGTTATTCAATGTTTAGATAATTCGTCCATCATATATTTGTGGATGTTGTTATTCAATGTTTAGATAATTGGTCCATCATATATTTGTGGATGTTGTTATTCAATGTTTAGATAATTCGTCCATCATATATTTGTGGATGTTGTTATTCAATGTTTAGATAATTGGTCCATCACATATTTGTGGATGTTGTTATTCAATGTTTAGATAATTCGTCCATCATATATTTGTGGATGTTATTATTCAATGTTTAGATAACTGGTCCATCATATATTTGTGGATGTTGTTATTCAATGTTTAGATAATTGGTCCATCACATATTTGTGGATGTTGTTATTCAATGTTTAGATAATTCGTCCATCATATATTTGTGGATGTTGTTATTCAATGTTTAGATAACTGGTCCATCACATATTTGTGGATGTTGTTATTCAATGTTTAGATAATTCGTCCATCATATATTTGTGGATGTTGTTATTCAATGTTTAGATAATTAGTCTATTGTAGATATTCATATGTGGCATTTAATGTTTAGATCATTGTCCATTTATTTCCTTTTCAATATGTAGTTTATTTCTAAAATACTATTAAGCTTGTTCAAGATTATGTATACTAATCAAGTTAAAACAAAGTCTAAAAAAAATGCCAACTGCATTTCAAGATACTAACCTTACACCCCAGACTCCGCCCCCTCTTCAATTGTAACGTAATTTATGAACGATCTCTTACAATATTGGTGCTCTCCTATTATTTCGTGTGGAAATTACATTTCAAAAGGGTGTGAAATCACACTTTAAAACAAGATTGCAAAACTATGTTTTTCCGACTCAGGGATCTGTAAAACGTCGAGATTTGCAAAAATCTCGATTTTTTTTTTTGCACGATTACAAGACTTTCTCTATACTTCGTATATACGTGAAAGTAATTGAGTGATATTTTTTCTAAATCACACTTTTAAAATGGGTGATATTTTTTTCTAAATCACACTTTTAAAATGGGTGATATTTTTTTCTAAATTACACTTTTAAAATGGGTGATATTTATTTATAAATCACACTTTTAAAATGGGTGATATTTATTTATAAATCACACTTTTAAAATGGGTGATATTTATTTATAAATCACACTTTTAAAATGGGTGATATTTATTTATAAATCACACTTTTAAAATGGGTGATATTTTTTTTTAAATCACACTTTTAAAATGGGTGATATTTTTTTTATAAATCACACTTTTAAAATAGGTGATATTTTTTTTAAAAATCACACTTTAAAATTGGTGAGATTTTTTTTCTAAATCACACTTTTAAAATGCGTGAGAAGTGTGTGGAATCTCGTTTTTCCTCATCAATCTTTCAAAAAGAAACTTCTATCCACACGACCACACACGTCTAAAAAAAAATGGCGGCACTTTACGAGATCTTCAACAGACGAAGTTTTTAAAAAAACCCACCTAGCCATTAATTTAACGACTTAATTGTTTATTGGGGAACTTGAAGGTGGGTTTCCCACCCGTGTGCCAAGATTCATATCCCCTTCTCCTCCAACAAAATCTGGTCCACATTTCTAATGTTCTTTATTTTTTATAATAGTTTTTTTTTTAAAGTGCAGCTTTATTTATAAGTCTAAAACAAATGCACTTTAGTCTATTTTAGTATAGAACTGAACTAATTAAAAACCTAGCATTGTTATTGCACAATTAGACCTTGTTCATATATCTTCCAATCCGTTTATTTCTGGATATCTATAACTCTTAAGGAAATGTAATGTTATTTCAAATCTATTTATAAACGTGTCAAAATGTTTAGACTAGAGGCTAGTTATGTCCCCTGTTTTTTAACCCTTGCTTGGGTCAGATTTTTGTTTTATATTCAGCAATAAAATACAAGGACGCAAAAGGGTTAAAATTAGACAAATCTGTTGTTTACCTGTAGTGTTCGTGAAATGTTCTTCTTCTTGCATTGTCCGGCTTTCTGGGGAGCAAATGTTCGACACGACAATTGATCAACTAACTCAATTTATGGCAACTTTTTTAAAACTCATACCCTGTGATACCAGTCTCTCTCATCTTTCGACGGATCTCCAAGAAGTATTTTTCCTCCTTCACTTCGCTTTTGCCTGTGGATTTCACCACAGCGCCTGTCTAGTGGCGTTACTGGTCTGCCCCACCTACTTTCTAGAACTTTCCTCTCGTCTAGGCTATTGTATTCAACTGCTCAACTGTCCGCTACATACATACATACACACAGTCCATTTCAACTATATGTATTAGATATGGATGTGTGTGTGTGTTCTGTGTGTGTAAGTGTGTGTGTAAGTGTTTGTGTGTAAGTGTGTGTGTGTTGTGTGTGTAAGTGTGTGTGTGCTGTGTGTGTAAGTGTGTGTGTAAGTGTGCGTAAGTGTGTGTGTGTGTTGTGTATGTGAGTGTGTGTGTAAGTGTGTGTGTGTAAGTGTGTGCGTGTGTATGTGTGTTCTGTGTGTGTGTGTTCTGTGTGTGTGTTCTGTGTGTGTGTTCTGTGTGTGTGTTCTTTGTGTGTGTTCTGTGTGTGTCTTCTGTGTGTGTGTGTTCTGTGTGTGTGTTCTGTGTGTGTGTTCTGTGTGTGTGTGTGTTCTGTGTGTGTGTGTGTTCTGTGTGTGTGTTCTGTGTGTGTGTGTTCTGTGTGTGTGTTCTGTGTGTGTGTTCTGTGTGTGTGTGTGTTCTGTGTGTGTGTTCTGTGTGTGTGTTCTGTGTGTGTGTTCTTTGTGTGTGTTCTGTGTGTGTGTTCTGTTTGTGCGTTCTGTGTGTGTGTTCTGTGTGTGTGTTCTGTGTGTGTGTTCTGTGTGTCAGTTCTGTGTGTGTGTTCTGTGTGTGTGTTCTGTGTGTGTGTTCTGTGTGTGTGTGTTCTGTGTGTGTGTGTGTTCTGTGTGTGTGTTCTGTGTGTGTGTTCTGTGTGTGTGTGTTCTGTGTGTGTGTTCTGTGTGTGTGTTCTGTGTGTGTGTGTGTGTTCTGTGTGTGTGTTCTGTGTGTGTGTTCTGTGTGTGTGTTCTTTGTGTGTGTTCTGTGTGTGTGTGTTCTGTGTGTGTGTGTTCTGTGTGTGTGTTCTGTGTGTGTGTGTGTTCTGTGTGTGTGTGTTCTGTGTGTGTGTGTTCTGTGTGTGTGTTCTGTGTGTGTGTTCTGTGTGTGTGTTCTGTGTGTGTGTGTTCTTTGTGTGTGTTCTTTGTGTGTGTTCTGTGTGTGTGTTCTGTGTGTCAGTTCTGTGTGTGTGTTCTGTGTGTGTGTCTACTTGCAAGGGTGCGTGCGCGTGCTCAAGTGTGCGTGTGTGTGTAAGTGTGTATGCGTGCGTGCGTGTTTAAAAAAATAGGGACATGTACACATAGATAATGTATATGTAATCCCATATCACGCCATCAATAATCAATAACATTAATTGATACAACTATAAGCGTGAGGCTTGTTTGCGTTCATTCATGGCTGATCTGTGTTAAACAATAACCAAACCGATCTTAATGATCTTAATGATCTTAATGATATTAATGATATTAATGATATTAATGATATTAATGATATTAATGATATTAATGATATTAATGATATTAATGATATTAATGATATTAATGATATTAATGATATTAATGATATTAATGATATTAATGATATTAATGATATTAATGATATTAATGATATTAATGATATTAATGATATTAATGATATTAATGATATTAATGATATTAATGATATTAATGATATTAATGATATTAATGATATTAATGATATTAATGATATTAATGATATTAATGATATTAATGATATTAATGATATTAATGATATTAATGATATTAATGATATTAATGATATTAATGATATTAATGATATTAATGATATTAATGATATTAATGATATTAATGATATTAATGATATTAATGATATTAATGATATTAATGATATTAATGATATTAATGATATTAATGATATTAATGATATTAATGATATTAATGATATTAATGATATTAATGATATTAATGATATTAATGATATTAATGATATTAATGATATTAATGATATTAATGATAATAATGATATTAATGATATTAATGATCTTATTGATCTTAATGATCTTAATGATCTTAGTGATCCGTTTTACACGAAAAAATAGAAAAGCTTGCACCTCATCCGTCAAACTAGGCTTTATTCATTTATTAATTCAGACTTTACTTCAACCTT